GTAAAAACAATGGGTAAGATCGAGACCAGAGAATTTTGTTTTTCATTTTTTTTAGCGTCTACAACGAGCCATCAAACCGGAACAACTCTTCCTCGAGCACATTCATTCCCAATCTGTCAATGAATAACGATGACAGGAGTAATTGCATCAGAATAAATTATTCCAGCTAATGTCTCTATCTATATCGTGTATGTATTTGTATTTAAAAAAGAGTGCATGAACAACAAGAAAGTCAATTACATTGACATGTCATTTATTGTTTATTAATCGGTGGGAACAGATGGTTGAACTGTTCATTAACAGACTGATTCAGAATGTGTGTACGTGCTGTCTCAATTTTTTTGTTTTTGATGTTTTTGTAACATAAACAAGCGATCAATTTTTCTAGTTAGTAAATCATTACTCATCTTTCATGATGATTTGTTCGGCATATTCCGTACATGTTGACTCTCCCAACATCTCATTCGTGAACATAAATCAAAACTTAAAAACTGTTTAACTCAGTTTCACTGCTCTTTGAAATTTGAAATTCTCTTCATTAAATTCTTGAAAACTTGCTCATATCAAGACTGAATGTAGAGTTTGCCAAAAATCATTGTGACAGTATTTCAAATCAGTTATCTATTGAAATTGAATTACTATGATGAATAATGACAAAAGTTTTGTGAACCATGGCATTGATATTAAGGATCCTCTCAAAAAAGTCGATTTTACGAGAAAAACTCGATTTCGAGATCTATACATATTCTGATAGTTCTTGCAATGAGCTTAAAAGCTAGTACAAATTTTTCTGTCAAAAGAAGAAGGTTAGGTTTCTTTTTCTGATGAGTTTTTTCGAGAGATTCTCTAGCTAAAGAATATAAACTTGCATTGTATGAGGGTGTGGATGTAGGCGGCTAGAATAGAGACTTCGTACTCGCCCTCGCCCTCACCCACGCCCATATCCTTTTCTTAATAACAATCTGATATAAAAGTGTTTTGCTTTACTACACAGCAGACAGTTAGGACCAAATCGTAATAGAGCTAATTTTTGAATTTCTTTTTTGGTGAAATAAAAAAAACTTGAATCTTTGGTTTTAATAATCGAGTTTTTGGTCACGAATTTGAGAATTTTTTGAAAAAGTTTTTTAAAAAACCAACAAAGAGAAATTCAAAAATCGGGCTCTATCGTAACTTAGTCCTAAACATATTCTGCAATATAAAAACTACTCTGACATATTAGTTCGTATCCTCATTTTGAAAACCTTCTCTGCGTAAAGCATACTTTTGACCAAGGAATTGACTATAACTCATGAGTGTCTTAGAGATTTTGCGAGAGATATTTTATCTATAATCTATTCTAGCCAAGACTAACATTCTCTGAAATTTGAGTTGAAATCAGATGAAAAACTAAAAAGTTTATTTCTGAGGAGAGGCTTCATTTCAAATCAGAAAAGAAAATGAGATCAAACAATTAAATAATAACTCTAATTATTATTATTATAGTCATTGTATGCTTCATATTAAAACAAATTTAATAAATTTCTTATGCAAAACAAGAAACCCATTTTTGGATGATATTCTTTCCAAGAATTATCAAATCATGGATTATAGTAGTGTTCCAGTCTAGAGGAAAGAATTAATCATATAATTGTTCAGCTGTTATTCAAACTATTGATGTATTTGAAATTTAAACAACATTTTACTACTTAAATCTTTGTAGCCAGGACATCTTTAAATAACAAGTAACACTAAAGATGACAACATTTTCATTTAGAATTAGACATAGAAAAAATTCCCATAAAAATACTGAACAAATAATAATGTTCGAAAATTTACTAATACATAATTATAAATAAAGAGAACATCTATATCAATTAATTTCGATAATTTACATTTGATTGATGTTTAATTAATAGTCACGTTGAATATTCTGACCAATCAATCTTTTTATTTTCTTCGATTAAATTACAAACGATGGAAACGATTTTGTTATCTGTGATCGTATGTAAACTAACGTAAAAAATTTCATATGAAATCGTAAGAATATAATATGATTATGAGATTGAGAATATAATTGACTATTGAGCTGAAATATTTACCTTTCTACATAAAACTTAGAGAATCTAATCAATAATTAGAGATAAAATCTTACTTACTTTCAAATAATGCTTGGATAGACTTTTTCTCTACGATTTTTTATTATTAAAAAAATAATAATCTATTATTTCTGAAACATCGAAATGTATAATCTACTTACAAGCAACTATAGTGAAAAAGAAACCAATATCTTATTATTCCATGTAATTCAATCTTTCTAGTCACTTTATTGAGTTTGCATATATAGTATATTGTATTATGCTAAAACTTTGTTTAATCATTGAGTCGAATTTTTATAAAATTCTTTAAACATTCTTCAATTTCGACGTATATTCTAAGTGAAACCTGTATCTAATATCATATATATTTATAGAAGCTTTTTATTTCTCTAATATTTCAAAATGCATATTGTATATTATAACATGTGCATAATTGATATGTTAGTAAATAATTTTTTTTAAAGCTTTAATTGAAGAGTTGATTAGATACACATTCACTCGTGTTGCTCGATTTCTTCTTTTTTTCTCAGAAACAAAAAGAAAATCACAAAAAATTTGAAAAAAAACTGTAAGTTCATACAAGAAATTTCTCATTGAGTTAAGTTTAGATGAAAGACACAAATTGTCTACATGTAATAAAATATAAAATACTCATAAAATCATGCAGACTTTCGTCGATTGTTGAGCATTTATACCTGTTAATTGACGTTTATGAGTGTTATTTCGTTTTGATTTTACACCTGTTCCTCCATATGAAACACTACTGGGTTTTCCAAACGAATCTTTTCGTCCACCGGGTTCGCCAATAACCGACATTGAACGACCCCATGATGTTGATAAATCTTCATTAACTGTTTTACCATAAAATTCATCGCGTTCAATTGGATTTGATTGTTTTTGTAAACGATGTAAAATAATACGATATGTACCATTAATACTATCACGATTGGAAAGAAATTTATTATTTGAATTTTTAGTTGTTGTTTGTAATAATTCACTTGTTATGCCTAAATCTTCTAATTTTGAATGAGCTTCAGATTCAAATGATGATGTTGGTGGTGTAGGATTATGTATATTATTTGTACTTTCATTTTTACTTAAATCTTTATTTACAGATGTCCAAAAGTTCGTTAAATTTAGTGGGAGTGGTTCAAGTTCATTAGGAAAATTTTGATTACTAAGCCATGAACATGAACGTATCTGTTCTATCGACCAGCGTTGAACAGCTTCAGGATGAAGAAGACCTCCTAGAAATATTTAAAATCTAATATATTGTTATATTTATAATTAAATTAATCTCGACAATGGTTTGACATATTTCATACTCTACAGAAAACCTGGATTATGATATAGATAGATGACATATGTCTAGGATACGAATTGATTTTAATGAGGATAAAAAAGAAAACTATTTTTGGTTGCACTTTTTTTTATCTAATAAGATATCAATAAAAAATGTTTTTTGCGTAATGTTTTACGAAAAGTAGTAAAATTTCGCATTTATGAAAAAAAAAAAGAAGTAATTTGATATTGAGAAGAGGAATAGTAAAACATCAAGAAGAATGTTATATTACACATTTGGTATGTTAAACATGAAATTTTAATATTCTTCTTCTTTTTATTTTTGAAAAATTTCTAAAATGAATGAAGTATTTATTTATTATTAATATCTTTTTTAACATATCACCAAAAGTAAAAACAACGAAAAAAAAAACCAAGAATTATTTTCTCTGATTGTATATAAAAGTATTTCTCGATAATTAAAACAGGATACATCTATTCGTAGGTTTTTTAAAGAACGGAAGAACGTAAAAGCTTTTGTTTTTTTTTGTTAATTGACTCATTTATTCACCTAGACAAGTAATAATGTATTACGCATGAGAATTCTAAAGCACGCATTTGTTTGTTCTTTTTTAAGTAAAAAAGGAGTACGGCATAATTATCAAAGTAGACCTTGATGTAATATTCAAATATGATTTTTAATGCACAAACAAATAATCTATTCAGTCAAAGTCTCTAATAACCTTGACATTTGTTTTTTATAAGGAAATAAATTATTGATTTAATCAAAATAATATCGAAGGAAAATATTGTTATCTGTCTTCATCTTTATTTCGATAGATTTGTTTTTTTTTTTGACAAAAATTAGATTCATCGAATTTTTTTTATGAAATTAAATAAAAAACATAAACATAATCATGACAAATATCTGTAATATATTAAAGTATGACAAACTTTATTACTTTTGTGAAACATATTTTATATTGCATGTTGATAGGATGAAGAAAAGTCAAAGTACACTTTTTACTTAAAGACTTGTAATTTTTAATATAAATTATGCAAGCTATTTATTAATAAATTAAATGTTACACGGAAGAACAATATGAAAAAAGCAATATCTAACTTTAATATATAAAATTTGCATTCATGCTTGACAGTAATCCCTTGGCATTTTCACAGACCATAAAAAACAGCATCATGTTCATCCTACTCTTTTTGCTGAAGGTAATATTATTATTCATATATATATATTTATTTATTTATATTTACAATATAGAGTAGCAAATTATTTAAACAAGTTGTTTAAGTTTTGTTACATGATTTTGTTTTTTAATTATTAATCATTTCATAAATTCTAGAAATCTTAGTTACATGCATTATGAAAATAATAGTTTTAAATAAGAATATGTTTTGAATTATATAATCAAAAGAAAATTCCATTTTTTTATCCTATACTAATAATTACATTTTTACTTCTACAATAATAAAGAAAACTATTTCAAAATACTTACGTATAAGTTGTTGACATTCATCTGATACATGTATTGGTATTGAATAATGTCCCTCGAGGATAGATTTTTTTAATTTACCAACATTTTCTGCTCGAAATGGCATTAAACCGGTAACCATAAAATAAAGTAAAATTCCCATAGCCCATAAATCTACATAAATTCCAATATAATTTTCATCACGAAATAATTCTGGAGCTGCATAAGGTGGGCTACCACAAAATGTCGTTAATGTTTGATTTTTTTCTGAAAATGTACTAAAACCAAAATCACCCAATTTTATTAAACGTTCTTTAGCAAAAAATACATTTTCACTTTTAATATCACGATGAATAATACCTTTTTTATGCTGAAATAATGAAAAAAGAAATATTCATAAAAAAAAAATGTTTTTTTTTTCTTTGATTAAATGGTTTTTTTACCACATGATCAACAGCTGCAGTTATTTGAGCAAATATAGGTTTGGCTTCATCTTCAATAAATTTTCCTTGTTTTGTTATACGTGTATAAAGTTCTCCACCGGGTGCATATTCAGTAACAATATAAATTTCATTTGGTGTTTCAATAACTTCATATAAACGTATAATATTTGGATGATGTAAACGTTCCATTGAAGTTATTTCACGAAGAAGTAAACGTTGAGTACGTTCATCAAGTTTAGTTTTGTCAAGAATTTTTATTGCTACTTTTTCTATATAATAAAAACAAAAAGAAAGACAGTTTTTTTTTTAAATCTATTCGTTGTCAATAATAATAAAGCATTTATCAAATAAGATTTCTTTAATGATAGAATTTTTCAAGATTGTCTCATCTCTTTTATTTACTCAAGAAATTCATTTTTATTAGAAAAATCGTAATATGAATATGATGATTTTTCCATATGAGATTCAATGCTAAAATAATAAACAAGAGAATTGTTATTTATGCGATATAACTATAAATTTGAATGCAATATCTTTTTCAATACATCTCAATATGATTGAAAGTTGTTCAATAAAGTACACTGTATATTTCTAGCAATATATAACAGGTATGTATTTGTTTTGGATTAATCGAACTCAATAGACTGAAAATTGAATCATAGTTAATGATGATCTTGTTTGAGTGAGATTTAAATCAATTTCGAAACATATATTGTTTAAATCCTAGACATTCTTCCGATATTAAACAAGAATATTTAAACCAAATCATGCATAACAAATTATGAATTAGAAAAAAGAGAAAAACATTGAAGCAGAAAATCGATTTTGATATATTAAATCTATAACTAGAGTCGTTTTATCAGTATTGTTCTTTCTCAATAAAAAAAACACAATCAGCTCAGATATTTCTTATATTCTACATTAATTATTTATTTGTTATTTACCTTTGGCAAGTAGATGTACACCAAGTTTAACGCGAGAAAAATTTCCTAAACCAATGTCACCTCGAATACGATAAAATCCAATACGTCGACCAGCTTTTTCTTCTGCTTTAAAACGCATATCATATTGTGAATCATATAAAAGTTTTTCATAAGCTGTTAAACTTTTTTTTTCATCTTTAGCAAATGATACATTAAGAGCTGCTGCTGATGGCATACTGCTTGATGATGAAAATTCATCATTAATAATAGCATCATTTCTATTTGTTTTACTTTTATTACTATTATGTGTTGGTGCAGAAACAGAATTAATATGATGACGAGTTTGATTCAATGATGTACGACGTGATCTATTATTTGTTTCAACTGTTGAATTCGATGCTGAGGGTGCCGATGTTAGATTTTCTGTGGTACTCATTATTTACTGAATGATTAAATGAAACTTCGTGTTTTCTTACATCTAAAGAGAAATAATTATAAAAGAAAAAAGTTAATAATCATGCCATGACAAATGAATGAAGCGATGACAAACATGATAAAAAAAAAACAGAAAAAGAAAAGAAAGCTAGTTGTCATATGTAGACGTGCTGTTATTTAGAAGAAAGTATTAATAAATGAGCAAGCGTCATCACCTGCCTTTTGTAGAAATGAAATACTGCAAAACAGATAGTTGTGATAAGAAACGAGGAAACTAATTTGATTTTAATTAAACAAAATGAGAGATTTTACCAAACTGTCGTCCTCAAAATAAAAGACAGATAGGAAACGATAAATAGAAAAAAAGAATAAGCTGATAAAGAGACATTATTTTCCAATACTAAAAGATTTATAAGATGAAAAAAAAATGATAGAATTCATCATTTCTTCTTTTTTTTCCCTTTTCAGCCTTTTTTCTAATCCTTTTTCTTTTTATGATAATCATTGTCTTATTTTGACTCTATTCAAAACATCGACTTGCTTTAAAAACCCGTCGGATTAATAGTCCTACCAGTGCACTCTTTTCAAGAATGAAAAAAAAAAAATACTCGACGAGAATTAACAAAGAAAAAAAGATATCTAAACACTTTCTACGGCTTTATGTACTCAACAAAGCAACTATTAAAATATTTTTGACGATAAAAATAGAAACAGAACGAATACACTTCAATGTGCTTCATTCAATGAAATAATGTAAACATATATTGACAACAAATATGATACATAAAAAAAACAGGTTTCATTAATAAGTATGCTTGAAAAAATAGAGGTAATTTGATAGATAGTAGACTTTCATGCTATTTTAATTGGAAGTGATATGCTGAGGCGAAGAAAAAACTTCTCTATTTCTTGTTCTTGACTTACTTTTTTTTCTCTAGATTCACATTTGTTCTAAACAACATATTAGTATCTTTGTAGGCAAATAGGCATCAGCATTGACGAGAAAACAGAAAAATGACAACAGCGGAAACTCCTACTTTTTTTTCTTTTCCTTCCTGTTTCATTCTTTATTCCTGTGTTACTACCATGCACTGGTTTTTTCATAATTATTACTTAGCAACGAGTTTTTGACAAAGTGCATTGATGCATTAAAATGTATTGTATACTTTTTTAAATCATTAATTAATATTTGAATAATAAGAAAAAATTTATTTTATAGTAATTATTAAATATTTAATTATGAAAAATGAAAAACTTTAGTAAATATTGAATTGAAAAAATTAATAACGAATGATCAATCGTAGAACGATTGGATAGTTGTTTATTATTTATACCTGTTTTCTTTTTTCGACTAAACCTTATTTTAGTTATTCGAATGTTTTGAATTCGAAATGATTTTATCTATTTTTTTTTATGTTTAAAGATCAGTAAATATAACAATGAAACGTAATCGATTTGTTTCATCATCACGTCGAAAATCCCGTAAACGTTATTTTACTGCACCATCACATATTCGTCGTCGTTTAATGAGTGCACCATTAAATAAAGAATTACGACGACGATACAATGTTCGCAGTTTACCTCTTCGTAAAGATGATGAAGTGGCAGTTTGTATCTTTTCTTTTAAGAGAATTTATTGAAAAACAAAAGATCTAATTTTAAATAGATTACACGTGGTCATTTCAAAGGTCAACCATCAGGAAAAGTAACACAAGTATATCGAAAAAAATTTGTCGTTCATATTGAACGAATTACACGTGAAAAAGCCAATGGAAATACTGTTCATATTGGTATTCATCCATCAAAGGTAAATAATAAAATAATACAACAAAAAATTAAAATTAAAATTTATTTTTTCTTATAATTCAGGTTCAAATAACTAAATTGAAATTAGATCGAGATCGTAAACGTATTTTGGATCGTCGTTCAAAAGCAAAATTGGCTGCCAAAGGCAAACATACTGAAGAAAGTATTCAACAAACATCAACAACAACACCAATGGAAACAACCTCTTAAACAAAGAAAAGAAAAAGATAGTTCTATTTAAGTTGTTTGTTTTTTCTTTTGTTTTGTATTTGTATGTGCGATCGGAGAAACAAATTACAAACAGCACAACAAAAATAAAAAGAAGAAGAGATAATTATTAATAAAAAAAAAAAAAAGATTTCTTTTTTGATGTGGCCACATTAAAATTTATTAAAATCATTTTCTTCATTCGTCAGTGACGTATATATTCTATTACCAAAAACAGTGTTTTTATCTAGAATGGGGTCAAGAAAGCGGTACCTCTCCGAAGATCAGATTGACACTCTCTGACGTTGCAGTTATTGTATTACGTACTATGGATTGGTCCTCACAATAATAAGTGTTCGCCCTTCTAGAGTTTTCAATCGCTCTTCGAAAGATAAAATCTGGATAAAATATTGACCACAACCAACAATAATAATAATAACAAATAAAAAAAAAATAATTTCAACTTTAAACAAAGTTAATTATTTGAAATGATTTATCATAGGTTCCAGGACAATTTTGTTGACAACGATTTAGAAAGAATCAATATAATAAAAGAAATGTTTAAGAACTTGTTTCTTTATAATTATTATTTGTCAGAAAATATGATGACTCTGATCATTTTTTTTTACAATAGAGCAATTAACAATCTGAGTTGTTCATCATTCGTAGGATTGAAGTTGGAGAAATTCAGTCTAGTGGAAAGAATTGTAGAAACATTAGTCTTTTTTTATCCTGCTATATTCATGAGACATTTTCGCAAAAAAACAGAAAAACATAACTCTTGCATTTTAGTCTTCATAGAAACCATACATTAGAATGTGTATCCTATGAGATGATGCACATACATTGTTTGACGTTTTACTGCTTTTTCATTTCATCAATTGTTTTCATTAATATTGATTTATTTAATTTAACTATTAAATATTCATTTTCTCGATATAATATTTCATGTTCATTATTGACTGTTGTTGTTGATTTTATTTTAAAAAATCCAATACTGAGTAGAAAAAAAAAGAAGTGGTGTCTCTCTTCGACATTCAAGATCCGTATATATTTACAACAAAACTAAGAAAAAAGAACGAGAGAGATTATAAAATTATTCTTGTGCTTGCAATGTCTCTACACGATATCAATGGTAAACATTTCAGCCTGATTAGTTACAATTTTGTCGAGAATCAGAAGTGGTCAAAAAAAGTGGGAATGGGAATACTTTTAAATGTGGTAAAATACACTAGAAACGATATACTAGAGAGAGAAACATATGGTAGATATGACAGAAATCTCAGTAAATAATTTATGTCGTTGTTAATTCAGGTTGTCTTTCAGGAGTCTGCTGTCGTTCAGGTTCTGATATTGATGGAAATTGGTGTTTTCTCCAATTTCGTAAATAATCAACAGTTGTTTCATCGGAATGATCAACAATTAAAAATACTTGAATAGCTCCATCTTCATATCCAACAACTAATACTCGTCCATCATTTGTTACAGTTGCTTGTCGAACTTTAGCTGGACATTTCATATCAGCTAATTGACGACCATCTTCTGTACGAAATACACGTATTGTTCGTTTACCTTTATGATAATATATAACATGTTCATTTGTCGGAGTAAAAAATGCCATCACATCAAATACACCTTCAGCTATTTTGCCAATTAATGTTCGAACTACTTTTCCATTTCGAAAATCAAATATTTCAAGACCACCACGTGTTGGAGCATATAAACCATATCTACCATCAGATGATATTTGACCACCCCATTTTGGTAATGTGAAATGAACCTATTTAGAATAAAATAAAAATAAAAAAGTCAACTCGTTAATCTGGTAAAAGAAAAAAGAAAATAAAAGATAGTTTTAATTTAGATAAATAAAATTTATCTCTTTACATTTAACAGAACCTTTCCTCCTTTTCCGAAGTTTCTCAAGAGCATCTTAACTAAAAAATTCTGAAACTTTCACAGTAAATAGATCTCAGTGAGTATAACAAAAGTTCTACTAGACTCATAGTTCTCGGGTCATTTTATCCAAATGACATAGAGAACGCAATGGCTAAAAACGACCTAAACACCTCCCTTTTCTTCATCCTACCAGAGCTGATAGAGCTGAAACTTTCTCTGTAACGTCTATCAACCAAGTTAGACTGCATGTTTTCTAAATAAAAAGATCTTGTATTGCTCGCTCAGAAGGGCCAAATTATTCGAAGTCCTATGAAAAACCATGTTTTTCGACTTGGCGCAAGTTTTTTGTAAGATCTGCCAAAATTTACTAGTACAATATCTTTCAATGAAAAGTAAAATACGCGTCGCAGAAAAGATTTCAGCTCTATCGGTTGCAGTATGTGAGAAAAAAAAGGAGAAAAACTTCGAAATTTCTATGGAAAAAAATTGATTTCAAGAATAGTGAAAAGCAAATTAAAACTTTTCTATTTTTTAGAATATTATATTTTCTTGTTTCTCACGTGTTTTAGCATAAAAAAATCGACTTTCAAATCTTGAAATAAGTTCACCAATTAGAGGAGACTTCGGACTATCTATTGACCGAAAAAGATCAAAAAATAAAAAATCTGACATTTTCGGATCTCGAAAGAGAGAACAGTAGCCTTAAACCAAGATTTTTTACGTCTATTACCAATAATTATTTTCTTCTATTCTCGTATGAAAAAGACAAAAATTTAGCTATATTAATCACTCATATTAGACTTTATATGTATAGATAAGTTTATTTTAGAAAGATGTATTTTCTCTTATGAATATATTCAAATTAGATTTTCATTCAGTCTTTTGTTATCACAGTACCATGAATATTAGAGTATGAATTCTTTTAAGTATCTAGTTAATAAATCTATTGAAACATGTTTAGTTTTCATGTCTAAAAAGCAAACAGCTGAACGCTATATTCTTTGTAATTATCCATATAATCTATTCTATTACGGTTTCTTTTTCTGATTAATTTGATTTCGTTATTTCCGATAAAGATAATTTTAAAAT